TGTTTTAAAATATAAACTTAATCTAAACAAATGTTGATATCAAAATAAATATATAATAACAAATTCGTTACAAGAAATAAAGTATGTAATTGAAAATTTGATACAAAATGTAGAACTTGTTTCATTTATGTGTCATATAGTCGAAAAAGAAAGTGAAATCAATCATATCGTTTTAATTAACCTGTCTTAAGTACTAGCTGGGCAAATATACTTGTGTAATAGTAGAAACATGTTATTTTAATTCTTTAATGAAACTAATGACTAAGTGTATAACACTTAATGTTAACTTATATTTTGTTCTGTTTATGAACTGAATCCGTCTGGTTCTTCGAAAGTGATCTAAAAATTCAAAATAATTAAAAACAAGTTAATGAAGCGCTTTCTTATTATCTCAATAAATCGATGTATAGTTTGTTTGTTTGTAATTAAGCACAAAGCTACACAATTGGCTATCTGTACTCTGCCCACCCAGGAGTATCGAAACCCGAATTCTAGCGTTGTAAGTCCGCAGACATACCGCTGTGCCACTGGGAGGGGGGGGGGACATCAATGTATAGTTTGGAAAGATTTAATAACCATTTTTAGTGTAAATAAATCAGATAATTCTCTTTATTTAATGTCAGGTTTTTTTGTTTTGTTTTTAAGTTACACTTAAATATATCTTCTAGTCTCATGGCAATCATTACTGATGAAACAATTTGTCCACTTAGAAATATTCACCAGTCTTACAACAGTTCTCTAACGATGAGACAGCTTTGTCATAAAATAGGAACAACTTATGTAAAGTGACGTTTTATTGGTATTAATGATAATCACTAAACTTCTTATGTTTCGTCAGATAAATACATCGCTGCTGGCTGGAGCTACGAGGGAGATGACGGTATGTATTTTGATTTATGTATATTCATGATAAATTGTTCTTGTTTGAATTATACTACCATCAAACGTTAAAAGTAGGCGGAAAACAGATATTGGCATGGCCATTAAATGTATAACGCTGTTACATATCGTATGTAAGAGATAAGTTTCTTTTTGTAATTGAATAATTTTTGATAGTTGATACAATAGTTTAAAGAAAGTTCATAATTTGACATCACTCAGATATTATCAAAATTTCATATCATAAAGTGTCTGGTATTCTACTCAACATGACTTTATTGCTCACTTGAAGTAACGTGCATGGCTGTAACTGCGACAATTAACTTTTAAGGTTATCACTCAAGTACTACTAAATCATAGAAGCAAAAGGGATAGATTAAAGATAAGCAAGATATTAACCGAATAGGCACGGGATTGGCCCTAGGAATGTTGATTATGATTCAGAATTTATTACGTGTATATATACGATATACGATAACCTTTAATTAAAATGTACAAGTCTGTTACATACTGTACAGAAAATCAGATGTGTTACAAAAGTATATGTACTCAAGATATTTCTCTGAATTGGTGACGCCACTATGATTCAGACTTTGATAATTCGGAGTGCAAAATGATGTTCTTGTGAAGAATAAAAATACTTTTGTACATCGCAAAGTTTGCATATTACATTCACATAACCTCTAGAGCCACCGCAATACGTACATATTTACAGTTTTCCTCAGTATCTTTGTATACTGTGTAAGGTATTTACTTTCCTGTACCACGAAAAGTTGCTGAATCAGCAATAACACGTCATGATCCGATATCCTATTGGATTAACTATGTTTATGGGACCTGCAAAGACAAAATTACGTTTTTCTATCTTTGAGTATATCAATTACTTTTTTAGAAACACAATAACACAATAAAGTTAAAAAATACTTCTGCACCGAAAAGTAAAAAGTGTTCAAGATGAAAACATGGAGAAATATATGTGACATTATAAACTAAAGAAACTGGTTTGGCTGTTGTCAAGCGCAAAGCTACACAATGGGCTATATGTGCTGTGCCCAACACGGGTATCGATACCTGATTTTTAGCGTCGTAAGCCTGCAGAGTGACGGGGGTGGGGGTCAGTTACATAAATGCTTGAATACACGTGACAGAGAGAAAGATTATGATAACAAATAGACCACGATTTACGAGTAACAGTAGGTTACTGGATTAAGTCATCCATTATGAGATTTTCTAAAACTAGTTTCAAAAAATATTTACATCTTTACTTAAGGACTTTTAGATGTTTATTTAATGTTGTTTTATACGGACAATGTATGATTATAGTTTTATAGAACTATGAGACCACATACGTTAATTGTATTAATAAATTTCCAAATGAATTTGGTGAGAAATGATGGGTTTTTTGTTTTCCCGTTATGACTTTAATCTCAACAAGTTTGGGGTCGGTCGGTATTTTTGTAAGCCGAGAAGTGACTGGCCCAGGCGGCAACCATATGTTTGGCATCGAGTATTTGAACTTGCGACGCTCAGATTGTGAGTTCAGTGCCCTAAAAGTCATTATATTAGAAACTTCATTTGTCTAGATTTTTTCTTTTTTTTTTTTGTACAGGTACAACGGAGTGAACATCTTGAAATAAATAGCTCTTTGTTTTCAATTTAGGGCCCGAGAATTGGCCTGAAACGTGCAAAGGAAAAAAGCAGTCTCCAATCAACATTGACGACAGTGAGGTCAAAATAAACAAGAACCTGAGAGACATAAAGTTTGTGAATTATGACAAAGTTTTGAATAATCCGGTCTTGGTTAACAATGGCCATTCAGGTAAATTTTCCGTAACTCAAATAGAGATGTTTTTAAAAAGGAACACCTTGAAATAATACCAGATAGTTTATAAAATAATAATCATTAAAGAAATAAGGAAGAATATCTAGTTAAGCACTCTTCTTGTGTACAGTTAAGCTGGACATTGAAGACGACTCAAACGTACCAAAAATCCAAGATGGTGGCTTAAAGGCAGAATATAAGTTCCAACAACTCCATTTTCATTGGGGCAGTGAAAATACCACAGGATCAGAACATACCTTGAACAACAAAATATACCCTATGGAAGTAAGAGCTAAATAATTATTTAAGTATTATATCCCCTTTTACGGGATCTTCTATATTTTATTTACTACATAGATTTCTGTAGTGAAGTTATTCGTTATTTACTTTTCCGTTTATAAAAAGGTAAAGTATACAGAACAAGCTGATGATTTAATTTGATTCATCTTACGTTTAAAAATAAAATGCAAATATAATTGTGATGTCACAATGTCGATAATAATTACAAATTTATAAATGAAAACATGTACTGACCTGCATTCATTCAGACTGACAATACACATTAACAAAGTTTATATCAAATACATTTGTATCTCAAAATCGAAAACAGTAAAATAATAATTATAAAATAGTATAGTTTTTGAATTTTATAACTTTTGGTAACTTATGAACCATTTCCGTTGTATTTATTTCTCATAGTAAGTACTCTAACGAGAGCTTTGGTAAAAAAACGTATTGCAGAGTTAACCTGAATTCTGACGTGAGTGAATTGAAAAAAAAGAGACTGGTCATAAAGTTTCATAATATTAATAAAACACGATATTTTATTTCTGAGTAGACAATTAAAGCAACTTAATCGCTAACTGACAGACGTCTAGCTGTTGAAAAATAATTTAGATGAGACAAATAATCTGGACAAGACTGAGAAAATCGATCAGTATATACTTACTTGGATTAGGTCAAATCTCTTAGGAGGTATTCGGTTCCCACGTCATCTGATCACTCCTCAGTCTCCTCTTTACAAAAATAGATAAAATATCCAAGTATTTCTAAGCCTCTATATGACCGATGTGACCATGAAACCTGTTAGTAGAAACTTAAAGGAATTTTCCAGCCATACTATCTGCGGAAAGATTCAAACATATCCAATAGGAATGATCTTTGACAGTGTGCGACTAAACAAGAAAACAGCAATTTAAAGCCAGTCAATTACATGTTTTGTATGAATACATATAGTAGGATTATAATCTTTTTTTTTACATTTTCATGAACAGGAAATAAATATTCACTTTTTTAAACTAAAAGAGAAAGAAACACCTTGTATATTTCACACACAAAATATATTCTTCCCAATCTTCCAGCTTTTCAAGCCGCATCAAACTTTAAATTTTAATTCCAGTAAAATAAAAAACAACAACGATTTATCTGTGGTATCTTACTTAGTCTTATGCTAGACAAACACGTTTCGTAGCACTACATGTAGACAGAACAGTAAACTTTACCGTTTAACAAAAACAGTTAAATAATTTCAATATAAAATACAATACACACGCTATTTAACTCTTTCACTGTTACATTCATGTAACTCTATCAGTATCAGGTTTATTTTAGATACACAAGAAAACGACAACAAAAGACACTTATTTTAATATTTTATTATCTATCTCAAACTTGAAACTAGTAAACTGTGTGAGGTTGTAAGAGGAGCACTTTTTCCCACTGTTGCAAAAGGTCAAATTCATATGTGGTTAATATCACACTTTTCACGGCTATAATATTTTATATACTGGGTGTTACACACATACTCATTAAATAAAGTACATAGAGGCGGGTCTGTATAAATAAAACACGAAAATAAACCTTTTAACAACGAGATAAGATAAACATTTTAACTTTCAAGATATAACTTCCATGTACTTGTAAAATACTTTTGCTTTTACAACAAGCATGTATTTATTTTAAGATATAAGCCTAGTGAAGGACTTATACATAAAGTATTGTTAATAATTATTAAACAACAAAAAATGTCTAAAAGGCAGATACCATGGCAATGCCACCACTTTTAGCATGTAGCAGAATACAATTACATGCTCATAGGATAGTCTACACTGTGACAGGTGGTCATCCAACTTATGGGAACGTACCACAGTAGTATAAATCTTTTAATCGTATTATCAGTTATACTATGCCTATTAGTAGTAGTGTGTTTTCAGTCAAAGTATGTAAAAACCAAAGCCCAGATGGTTAAGGATATTCCATGCGAAAAAATGTGGCAAGGTTCCATGTTTCACTAAGAGCTGTACCCAAGACTTTGAAGATGGTACATGACACTGTTAATAATACAAGTGTTAAAGGTAAAAAACTGAAACTCTTCAAACGTCTTTTGCATCTATTTCTTCCTGGAGTACCTAAAGTGTTATCTGTAATGTTTACCACTGATGAAGTAATCATTCACAGTATGGTTGGCAGTCACATTTAATGCAATGACTTTTACAGATTCACGATATTTTGGATCTGTACACCCAATACTTTTATCGTCTGTCGAGATAATGCAGGTATATTGCTGTGTTGATGCTCTAGCCAATGATTTAGAGCAAAGTCATACATCTTTGCTGTTAAGATGCAATGTTCGATAATCTCCTCGAGACTTTTGAAACTCATAAAGCATTTCGGGGGGGGGGTGTCTAGTCCACTTGTAACGGTCTAAAATGAACATGCCACTACAACCATGGTTCAACAACAACAAAAAAAAACTTGTTCAACAATAACAACACTTAGAAATAAATTCAACACATATCAAAACACAGTTAATAAACACGAGCCTGGCCAGGACTTGACACTAATGTTAATATACAATACATCATAGATATTAATAATATTTCGAATAATGGAATCAGGAAAAAGAACCTAATTCCAAAAAATGCAGCAAACACAATATTTCAAAAATACCCTTCAATATTAATAACAATATCGAGTAATAAACAGCAATAATTCACTATCTCGTGACTCTCTCTCCTAGTGAAGCTTCTGGCAAGGTATTTATTTCCTGAGTAGGCACGAGAATACAACCTCATATGATCATAAATTTGCATAATCTTCTGCTACATTAACAGTATCTGTACGTCACCGATAGAGAAGCTGGTGTCAGTTTCATCATACATACATATTTACTCCAAATACAAATAATTAGCTAGAAGGTGAGTTAGTATTTAATGCAACTAAAAATTCACAGATAAACTAAACGATAGAAGGAAATAATAAACGAACGATAAACACAACCATAATCATAAAATTTGCTATCTTACACACTCAAACTGCGAACCTCCTATCTATAGGTAATAGTGGCAACAATTATGGATGTCTGGATATCTAAACTTGTCAAAAATACAGAGAACTTCACAAAAACAAATTCTCCGATACATGAGTAAGTGAATTGTAGAAGAGATATCATCTATAAGAAGGTCTAGAAATACCAAAGGAATGGCAATGTGGGACTAGCACAAAAATAAGAATAGTGAAATCTAAAAGCCAGTTACTTACACTCTATACATTATACTAACATGTGCGCTTGTGTATGTAGGTGTAAGATGGTTTTGAAATTTTGATGAACAAGAATTAAATCGGAAAGGTGGACCTAGTGGGTTTCACACACTACAAATTTCAATCAAAATATTAAACAAACGAATTTCATCTCGTAACCTCACAAAACAATATTTCGATGACGAGGAACCCACTTTAAGACTAATAATGGTTGGAGACGGCTTGAATGGGTAATGAAGAAAACTTTAATATAAGTTTAACATAACAGCAAATGTACAACGTTTCGAAAAGGTTTTGTCATCGTCAGGTACAAGTAATTTACACTGACACGGATATATATATATATATACAGTATTGAACAAAGAAGTCACATGACCGGAACTGTTGCGAGACTTAGAAGAGGTATCTAAACAATATTATGTTAGCGATATTTGTTGAGATCTTGAATTTACGTGATATAATGATTTATTCAGATAAGTTACATATGAGAATTTTAAACCTAATTTTTTTTTGCCTGTTTGAAAAAAGAATATTGTTAACAGTACAAAAAGGTTTTTTTATTATTTTGCACAGATGCACCTTGTCCACTATAATTCAAAATATGAAAAAGATGAAGCTCATAACTACGAAGATGGCCTGGCTGTTCTTGCTGTTTTCATTAAGGTAAGGCTTAGCGAGTACATTCTATATATGCAGTTAATTGTTGTTTTATTCCTCAAACTTACAATTACTATCATTGATTTTACTGAACATAGTTGTATTTTGTTTAATAAAGATTTCTCACGACCTGAAGTACTTTCGTATTCACATCCCACTATGTAGTTTCTTTGATTGTCCAAAATACTCACTGTTGTAGTGAAAAAAAAACTGAAGCTAGTGAAGCAACGAAATTCTTTAAGCCTAATGTTTGATAGAAATTCATGTTTTAGTTCAAATGTTTGTTTTATTATTATTTCGACATACCTCTTATTTAGTTAATTGTACATTTCATATTAGACATGCGCTGAAGTAATGTTCAGATGTATCTTCTTCCTGCCATTGTTATACAATACTAGAACTCTTCATCTGGGCTAAACTTGTATAGTTGTAGTAACACACAGTCGGCTTCTAAAAACGTAGCTTTAAACACAAAATAATAATAACATTAGACGTAATTGTAAATGTGTATTGATAAATGTAATATTTAGATTTAATTCCTATACGAGATGTTACTTTGATTTGAAATTAACATAACAATTAATATTTGTGTGAAAATATATTTTAAGTATAAAAAAATAAATCAAATCTTACCAATGTATATGACATCAGTGGGGTCATGTAACAATTTTAGGTATTTTATACGCTGGAATAGCACGGTAAGATTACTGCACGTGTGTTATTTTTATGTGGACAAATTACAGGGTTATTTTGTTCTATGATGATAACATTTTCTTGGATTAAAAATAGATTATACTTTTGATATTCAGACATTTATTTCACGTTAAGATTTAAAAGCACCTGAAATGTTTAAACACAAAATCGATTCCTTGACATTCTACTTATATTCTCGACCTAAGTGCTCTCATGATGACACACATACTTTATGTTTATTGTTCTCATAGTAGTACTTGAACTTTAAGTTTAACCTGTCGTAACTAATTGATTTTAATCTTGTTTTCCATTAAGTAATCATAGCCCGTTGTAGATTATCCATTAAGTTATGTTATAGACAGAAAGACCAATAAGGACACAGCTGACATTTCCATAAAGTTGAGAACCCTACTTCTAGCGATCTATAGTCTTCTATTACAAATGGTTTTCAGAATACCTAAAATGAAAAACATACATTCCTGATTCTATGTCTTTTGTTTGGCTATGTTGTATCTACAGCGAAAAAATCTTTTCAAGTCCTTCAGTGGCTCAGCAGTAAGTCTGCAGGCCTACGACGCTAAAAATCGGGTTTCGATACCCATAATAGGCACATCACAGATAGCCCATCGCGTAGTTTTGTCGCTAATAAAAACAACCATCCATATTGCTAATTACTTTAAATAATTTATAGTATTAAACTATCAGTCTTTGTTATTTACGTGTTAATAGTATTTTCAAGTACATCTTTATCAATAAATCTATATTAAATCATGTTATTAAACTATTTTACTTAAACATTTCTCCATGTTAACAAAGATTGACGCCAACGACAACAACGCCTTCTCAGCTTTCTCTCAAAATTTGAAATTTGTTTATGGAAACGACTCGTATGATATCTCGTCAAGTGATCTTACTCTGCAGGCTTTGCTTCCAAAAGATTCCTTATACTACAGATACCAGGGTTCTTTAACCACACCTCCTTGCAATGAAACTGTCATATGGACAGTGTTTGCGAATCCAGTGACCATTGGGATTGAACAGGTTTGTTGTTTTTGTCTTTCTTATTATCATGAACCACGGTAATGGTTCATAATAGGGTTCGCCAATATGTTATTTTTTATTATTATTTAATATTGTTTCGCCAGCCAACAGCAAAAAATGGCTGTGAGTATTGTAATAAACCTGAACAATATGACTAAATGCGTATTGTGTAGGGTAGTTTTAAGTTTATTTGACTACCTAACAAATAACAGCGGCTATATAACCGTTGACACTAAATAGTTTTAATGTAGTCTATGGTTTATATGGAGCTTCATAATCTATTACATGCATACATATATAGCTGAGTGCAGGTGGTGAATGTAATTTAATGTTTATATGATAGGCATGACACATGCACCATAGCGATTATTAACTTATTGTTGCAACTGTATTGACGTCACTTATCATTTGATTATATATAGGGTTTCTGCCTATTTGGACATAACGCTGCTGACAGGATCACAGTTTCTTTTACCACTGCATGATCAATTTCTGTCATGTTACTCATGTTACACAGGCGTCTAGGCTGTCTCCCAGAACAGAAATCCTTAAGCCATAGTTTAAAAGACAGCATTAAGCTCAGTTTCGAGCATCGAATCGGCAATTACGGTGATGGCTGATGGTAAGTGTCGAACTATAGCCAACACTGCGTGATTGCGAATTTTATAAATACTACAGATAGAGTAGCCATCCTTTTTGCAATTGCATTTTCACTTTAAGCTACCGATCTTGTTTCTGTATATTTTTTGAAAATCCTTATTTCCTCTTTTTTTAGTTAACAATTTTTAACAATCTTGTTATTATTATCTTCACAGAAAAACTAGAGGATAGCTACTAAACTCCCCATTTAATGTATTAGTTTTTGACTAAGTTTTTAGCCAATATCAGTGAGTAACTATTACTAAATTCCGATCAGATCAAGCTACCTACTTGAACCAATACTAAAAATCAACCCGATAATGAATGATAATGAGTAGCTGATTAAATATACTATGTTTACGTTCTTATTCATAAAGATTACAATGTATTGCTTAAACAGTTGGGTACCCTGCACCGTTAGCGATGTTTCTGACCGCAAACCCAATAATATCTCACGAGGTTCGACCAGCTTACAATACAAAATAATCTTTATATTAAAAATATGATAATTAAAAATACTAGCTATTTGTTCCATATACTAGAGTAAATTTCATTCTAAGAACTTATGAGTGAAGGCAAGGTATGTTTGTTGAAGAACTAAATATCAGTATAAACACAACTTTACACAATGTCTTGTGAACAATGAAAACTTGAGAATAGCCTGACATCTAAGATGAAGTAATATGGCACATGTTACTGCTATAGGAGTCAGATATTAATACAGTACAGCAAAAATTAATGTTTATGAAGATACAAAATATTTTATAATGATAAATTAAAATATATATGAATACCTGAATCATAGAATGAAAGGCTAGAAGATTGATGCTATGATTATTTTGGCAATAAAGTTAGAAAAAACGACTCTTACTCTCCAGACAAAAAAAAAAAAAAATTTAATCCTGCAATTCTTCATTGCGGCTTCATCGTGGCTAGTACAAAACTAATTAAAATACAATCACGTTAAATGTAATGAAAAAGATAAATAATATACTAAAGACAATCAATCCAATTTTAACCTCTGTCACTTAACAAAACACATGAAACGGACAATGGAAAATAATGAATAAAGTCCATACGTCAGTAATATCCGAAAAATAAACTCAGTGAGATTCGAAAAGGCTTAATAATAAAATATCGAAAAGGTAATATCATCAATGGTAACTATGACAACTAAAGTAATTAGCAAAAGCTAATGTAACCTAACTAATGAGTAAGGTTATGCAGCTACAATAGAGTTTTTTAGTAATGCACGTGTCACATCGTGACACACAGTAGATAATGATTAAAAGGGGAATCTTTACCAAACAGAAAATTTAATCTAAGCTAGTTATTGCATGCAAAATGTGTTCAACACCAATTCAAAAGAACACGAAAAATTGCATGAACAACACTTTAATACATACGGGATTGTACTATAATGGTCAGATGATTGGTTTCAGTTTCGGAATTTTGTTTGAGGTATAATGGTTTCATATTTTTGCATTTATCAAGAATCATACAAACTATAAGATTAAAAGACTGTGAAAACTTGATTGATAATATTTGTTTTAACATATTCTTCATGTTTCAGATAAAAGAATTTCGAAATGAAAGCCTAGATGACTTAGTTAACAACTTTCGTCCTATCCAGAATTTGAATGATCGAACAGTTGAAAAGTCATACAATTCAGGAATTCAGCAACTGCCTCAAGTTGTCATTGTTCTAGCTTCTTTTGTAGTAGTTGGTAGTTGGTAGTGTATATTATATTCGTTAATGTATGCCACAAAAACTATTGGAAATACTGGTCATCTGCCGTTTAGAGACACCGATTGAATGTTTAAACTGAATAAGATATGTTAACAATAAACTGAAACGATAGTTGCTATCTTTTATGGTCACTTAAGGAGTCATAAATCAAATTCTTCCTTGTAACTTCGAACATCCATTGAATTTGGCTGTGAACAAGATAAGAAAGTGAACGAAAATTAAGGTATTTCCTAGCACGATGTAACCAGGCAAATTACAGTGTAAACCTTGAAATAAAAGAGACAAAGCAATTAGATAATGTATAAATTAATGCGATATCAAAGCATATTTAGGAAAATAAAATAAATTTATTTCATGAATTGTTTAAGATGTACTGAAATATTAAATATTATCGCACACGCAATTAGCTGGTACAATGAGAAGTGACGATATATCTGGCAATGGGTCGGCAAAACTATTCAATGGTCACTTTCAACGGACTTGTTATATCGTGAGATGGGTATAAGTGCAAACGCTAAAGGTATGAACTAGAAATGTAATTTTTAGACAACTTACTTTAACTTACTTTGGGAAATAAAATATGCTTGTTTCTTTAATAAAACAATTTGAAAGTTCTATACTTTGCTGCTTGACATGTTCTTAAACCCAACGTAAAAATTGCTAAGTTATATTTTTTCAAAACAGTTACCATTTCAACCAGACTTATTCTCGCGTTGGTTTCTTAGCTACTTATATAATATACATGGAGCAAGATCTATTGTATAAACTGAGTGGTATGAGAAGCCCCGGAAATTCAATTTGAAAATAACATAAAAATCCACGCTCCCAGGTAGTTCAGTGTTAAGTCTGAGGGCTTAAAATGCTAAAAAATCGGGTTTCGATGCCCGTATTGGGCAAAGTACAGATACTATTTAGTAGCTTTGTGCTTAACAACAAACAGACAAGCAAATTTAATTTTATATGAGTAACTGAGAATAAATGTACTAACTCCGAATCATAGAATGTTTACTATATTACTCTTACGACAACAGCCAATACGCTAATGGATCAATATATCAAATTCAATGAAATAACTGTCAGTTAATTTATGTTTGATCAAGAAACAAAACAGTAAAAGATACTTAAAAAACATCGCATGATTAGAAACGTAGGAAATTTCAAGTATAAGACATCTTATAAGACGTTAAAAGTTTAAATAAAATACAACAACACAAGACACGTGTAGGAGAAGAGCTAAAGAAACGTTATAATCAAAGAATTACACCCCTAAACTGATAAAAATGAAACGATCTCAACCTATATGGCATTGTGCTTGAAAATTTCTCACAGATATTGTGGTGTTCTTAATTATGATGATCACCTTCATTTATTAATATTAACAACCCTAACTGGAGATTCGCCAGTATAAGTATTGCAGAGTTAATCTGAATTCCTAGCTTGACTAAGTTAAAGAAAATATACTGGACACAAGTTCTGAGCGTTACAAAATACAGCTTATATATTTATCACACATGAAAGACAGAAAAACATAACTCAATCCAAGTGTGTACAAATTGCAGACAGCGCTACTTTCTAACTGTTGAAAGGTTTGCATCAGGTGAGTGAAGTCTGGGACTGAGAGAACTGACAATTATATAAACATCAAATAGAGTCAACTTCCCAAAGTGCATTTGTCATCTGCGTGACATGGTCATCCTATAAGTAAAAATAGCGAGGATCCAGGTATTTCTAAGCCTATACACAACTGATATTAATGGAGAATCCATTGGAATAATTAGCAATTCTCCACGGACACCTTCTGAGGAAAAGCTTAGAAACACTAAAACAAAAAAATGATCTTCGACAATGTTTAACTAGTTCAAGAACAAAATTGCCGCATTCCAAAACTAATTATATGAAAACTGTTTATACTAAATGTGTGACGAGCATCTTTTTAAAGGAAATGAAACACATACACAATAGGATATTAATAAATTAGCTTTCAGTAACTCATTTGAAACTGTTTTGTGTTATTAATCCAATGAACTAACTAGTTCAAAATTAAATGAAAGTGAAACCTAGTTCTATATTAGATTGGGATGGGGCATTGTCTACATAGTAACATCTTAGAATTTTTCACATTTACATTGGTCTTCTACACTGTCCATGTAGATGTTTAATGTAAATGTAATAGAACTGGCATTAATTATCACAAAAAACGTTTTTAAAGAAAACGATTATGAGGAAACGCTGCCCAACAGTACAATATTTCTTTAAAACCTTACCATGTCTAAACTCTGGAATGGTTAAAAAAATAAATAAAGCTAAAACTATGGCTTTATTAGTATTCACTTGAGTTGTTTCGATTAGATGGAAATGAATGCTATTGGAAACTACTCTGGGTTTCGTAGGATCGACGCAATATAAGAAAAACATTTAATATTTGATTTTTTTCTTAATAAGAGACATATATTATCTAATTATTTATTTTTTTGTTGAACGTAGCTGTGCAGATATATTTGAAAAGACTAAAAGCAAGTTTATGTATTACGTTTACTTAACAGTATCAAGTTCGCTATACTGGCATCGGTTTCTATGATTCAGAATTCTTGCCAAACAACAAAAAGGACTATCCCTAATTTTGAACTAATAGACTAGAGGTAAGGCAGCTAGTCAATACTTCCTACAACTCTTCAGCTTCTATTGTCTGACCGAATAGTGGAATTTGACTGTTACTCTTAAAGTGCACTTACGGCCTCAAAATGGAAAGCACGATTTTGTGGTAATTGGCCGTGAACCATGAATTTTCGGATTCACAGTATAAGCATGCAAACAACTAGGCCGCACATGTAACACGTTTCTAAGAATGTATAACTGATCTATTAATAAAACGAAATGTTCAGAAATGGATTTCTATTTACAATAAAGTTAAGTTTTTATTTTATTTTATATTGAACATCACTGTGCATATATATATTTCAAAAGATGGCTGGTACTGTTGACTTGATGCATTATATGCCCAGTTAGCCTTTGTCTAGCTTTACACGAAATTTTAAAACACAAAGACAAAAATATCACAAAAAGAGTTACAATTTATATTCATATTTTAATTCCACAAACCTTTGAGTTAAATTCCCATATATATATAATATATTTGATCATTACCTCCGCCATCGAAGGTGGACAGATTTTATGTTTTCACCCCTGGGTGTGTGTTTGTCAGTAAGGTTTCTCAAAAACGGCTGAATGGATTTGGACTATGATCCAACTTAGAAGTAATTAGTTTTTGGATGGTCAAGGATGGGGACCGATTTTTCACACTATTTTTACTCTATAACTCAGTCAAAATTGATCGGATTTTGATTAAACTTGGTGGACATATGTAGAATATTATTCCTCAATGTCCTACCAAAAAATGCAAAAATGGTCCGTTTCCGTTGATAACGACGGACATATGGACACATTTTCGTATTTTTTGAGAGCCGAATTTGATGCCCCCCAGTGGCACAGCGGTATGTCTGCGGACTGACAACGCTAGGATCCGGGTTTCGATACCCGTGGTGGGCAGAACACAGATAGCCCATTGTGTAGCTTTGTGCTTAATTACAAATAAACCGAATTTGATCAACGCTGCGTGACGGAGATATGCTCTCTACTGAATGCCACTCTACTTTTTCTTTCTTTCCCTTTTCTAAGATGTCTTTCCTTGTAAACTCAAGCAACTTTATCATACATTCTGGCGTGTGGGATTAGATATAACATTGCTAGGGCTTGTAACAAATGTGTACTTATGTAAGACATCTAAATTCCTTGTATATCTTTTTCGTAATATATAGAGAATATTATTTTAAAATGTGTCATTTTGCGTCTAAATAAGCTGTAGCAAATGTAAGCTTATTCTTCCAAAACATTGAATTACGTTTTCTGTTTTACCTTTATTTTTCTGATCACAATATAACATGTTAGCTACCTCGTTTGTTTGTTTAAGCACAAAGCTGCACATTGGTCTATCTGTGCTGTGCTCCCCGCGAGTATCGAAACCCTCAGGCTTACCACTGAGTCACCAGAAAGCAATAGAAACCGAATAGCTCGTTTAGTCCTAATTAATTTATCTTGAATAACTAATCTCGAAACTTACTTTTGACCAGTTTTACTACTGTATATAGACAGATACGTGAGTGGAATAAGTGTCATTGTGGGAAATGGAGAAACTTCTGATTTTATTAGTACTTGGATCATAATTATGTTTTATTGAATTCAGAAAGATATCAAGTTTCGTGCTATTTAACAGCTCTGAGAAAGGATAGTTTATTCAGGCTACTCATTTTGCTTACTTGCTTGCCATCAATCAGAAGTATAGCAAGCTTATAATGAAACATATCTTTACTTTATAGAAAAAGACATCCAAGAGAAACCGCTTCTGACAGCAGCTGTCGATAATGTACACATTCCCGGCCCCTATAATTTTAAGGCCTGGTGGTTAATGTGGTCAAGTTACAATCTGAGGGTTGCAGGTTCTAATCCACGTCACCGAGCATGCCCATCCTTACAGTTGTGGGAGCGTTATAATGTAACGGTCATTGATGATGACGAGAAATCCACTTGAAGTAAAAATGTATGGCAGAGACGGCTGATATTGGTATTAAAAACTTTAATTAAAATAAAGTATAAGAAGGTCGAAACGTTGTTCTTAAACTTTATTTTAATTAAAGTTTTTAATGTAAAGGTCCTTCCCACTATTCGTTGGTAAAAGAGTAGCCCCAAAGTTGGCGGTGGGTGGTGTTGAGTAGCTGCATTCTCTCTAGTCTATCACTGCTAAATTAGGGAAAATTAACACAGATAGCCATCGTGAAGCTCCTCGAAATTCAAACCAAACCCCTATAATTTTATTGCAAGACAGTTTAAGTCAGTTTGGACGACAAAGAAGAAAAATAAGTTTAGCAACTTCCAGCACTAACATTGGAGTTGCAGAAAATAAATGATACCCAAGCGATTACATGAAAAATACAATTACTTTAACCTTATACCTTTATCATTTGTCTTATGTGCTTATGGTCAGAACCAACACAATGCAACGCTCTCTATAATTTTGTAAATGAATCTGTGTACCACGATAATACGGTTTTAACCTCATTTGTATAAATATCTTGTGAATATCAGCGACTAGATATATATTTTAACACGACCCTCAGGAGCCAGTGAGTGTTTTACACTACAGTTTGTTGAATATTAAAAGTAAGTTCAATCCAGAAACTCCCAGGGAGGGTGGTTTTGGGTGTATCTTTTCGAGACAAGTTTCGTTTATTAAATGATAAATTTTTAAGTGAAATACAACATCTTCAAGTCTCCATACTAGCTAGTACTAAGGTCTACCCGCTAGGAGTAAATTCAGAATTATGAATATAGCCACATTCTCAGCATCATTAATTAACCAAATGCCAACCTTTTATGCTTCTGCTATCCCCTTTTATGTTTAGCTTTCAACTGAGATACGAACGATTTCATCTGCGATTCGGTCAGGAAGGTCGAAGCATCATGATAGTCAGTAGTAAGATGAGCAGACAGGAACACTTTAAAAGCAGCTACATGCATAATATTGTACTCGGCTTGCTGTACAATATCTACCTAGGTTGTTCTAAACGGTTCCTGAATATCTCTGTGTGTCATTTGGAGACTTTCATGCTTCTTGCGCTTGGCCGTTAAGCTCGTGATGCACTGACGAATTTCAGTCACCTCACCATTTCAAATCACTTTTCGCAGCCCCAACGCTAAAAAAAATGCGGGAAATTACTTCTTTTTTTAGCCAATAAACATGTCCAAAAAACTTCAGTTCAAATTAAGAAAAACCGGATTGGGCAATGTGTTTTTTCTAAACAAAAATGTCCCCCATTGGCTCGTGAGAGGCCTGTTAAAATAATCTATGCATCGTTGTGTCTCTTATCAAAATTAGTGCATTGTCAATAAAGTTTCTAATAAATTGAGCAAATAAATTTATTTTACAGTTATTAAACGTTAAAGTAACTTAGTGAAACCATGTTGACTATCAATAAAATTCTAAAGTTTGTTAAATGACTTTGCAAAGCATCTTTTATCAGACTTTCCAAACATTTTCCCACAACTGATGTAAGACTAATGGGTCTTTCCTCTGGTACCTGTTTACTATTCAAGGACTGACAAAAAATAGAGGAAAATTTTGCATAAAATTCAAAGAAGACAAACCTGACACTGCAGAAACTGTATTTCAGTTTATAACACTTCTATGGCGATACTTCACAAGATGGACTGATATGGCCAAGCATAAAAATAGTTTTGAAGGACTGGCAGATTTACTAACATGTGTACAGTTCATGATCACATGCTCAACTGACATGTCACTGCTCCTAAAAGAGAGGGCACCAAAATACGTGGACGAGACAATCAAGCTGGCAGCACGGTATATGAAAGTCCATGGAGGGAGTATAACTGATAAGTCAAAGAATAACCAGTTAAAGTCGAAATCAGTGGTGGCTGACCAGAAACAAGATACTACCGAAGGTAATATGCACTTAACAGACAAAAAGGATATGAGAAGCTATGCTTGTTATAAATTGGGACACATTGCAAATTAGTACAAGTCTGTCACCGACAAGCAGCAGTGTATAATGGCGACTTTTAAAGTGTAATAATCGCAGATTATATTGTAATAACAGAGTAGAGGAGAATAACTCGTCTTGTCAACTGAGTTCTAAAATAACCGAACCAGACTGTGTGGATGTTTGATATAAAAGATAATTATTTAAAGCTCTGAGTATAATTGTGGTAACCCACATGGTAACATTAGTGAATTTATCACAGATTGTATTGTGATATCAGAGTAGAGAATAATAATTCGTTTTGTCATTTGGGTTCTAAAGTAACTAAACCAGCCTGTGTGGACTCTTGACGAAAAGAAACGATTAGCTAAAGCTCTGGATACAACTGAGTAACGAACATTTGTATGTACGTTTGACTTATTTGAATATATTATTTTAAAACAATTAGATTGTGTGTTGTCCGTTTATTGTTTAAATTTATCACCAGCAAGTCACAGACACCTACTGTAAAGAATCCTGCCCACACATACATCCATAAATATATATATATAAAAACCTGACACAATGCAATCAACCTGATTTTATAATATGCTTTATTTGAACATATATGTTTCCAGAACAGTTCGTACACTTACTGTCATTTTCATAACTACCTTATTCACATGTAGAAAGTGAAAATATCATACAGCTACTAAAAGTAATCGATCAGATTTTAGGTACACCACAAAAACGTGAATTGTGCTGAAAAGCATAAAGTAAGCTTAACGTAAACAAAACCTAATCTATTTATGTGAATGTAGTATCGATTTCCTATAACACATCTACATCTCAGCTTATGTATATTGAATAAAAATATCTTGCTCAGTAACAAACAAAATAATAAGAGTATGTCCTGAAAATCGTGGTGTAATTCAAACAAGTAGCCAAACTGTAACCTAATATATAATATACAATATATATATATAAATATCAACGTTTGGCCAATTGGAACATTTTGTTGAGTGATAGAAACGTTATCTTATTTGTAACATTGTGCCAGGTGACAAATTGTTCTAAGGTTTAAAACCAAACAATATTAGCTTAAAATCAATAATGTTTTGTTTTAACAAAGTGTATAATTATAAGAACTAAAAACAAGAACTATTAAGCACTTGTTTCTAATGTTTAGATTTGCTTATGAAACAAAAAAGTTAAAACAATACTGTATCATAGATAAAGTTAAAGCTGAATATATAGAAAAAATAGGTGGTAGATTCTTCTTGGCATGTGTGTGTGTTTGTGTGTGTGGTGTGGGATTTCGAGTTTTGGGAAATAGCGATTTAAATGTTACTGAGTCTACTATTCGGGAAGGGCCTGTAGGCCAGCTATAGTTTAATAATGCAACTGGAGCAGCCTTAAAATTAACTGAAACGTTTCATATTTATAAAAGAAAAAAAAAACAAGATACGGATCTTAGATCCGGAGAGATCGGTAAATATAAAGCACTGGGTAAAGTATGATAAAGTATGGATAATTTGATTTTTGGTTAGTATAGGTTTTCACTGTCTATTTCATATTTTCACCATTAATCTAAAATTATAACATACTTTTAATATAGCTTCACAGCTATCATGATAGTTATTATATGACTAGAATATATTTCCAAAATAAAATCATGTTGTCCTAAATGAATAATTCAGTGATGAACGTATATTAATGGCAGATAACACAGATGTTTAAAGAACAAACTAACGCTTAATGATACACAATAAATATCTAAAACTTATACTCTTCTCAGTCTCGAAATACAAAAAAAATGTACTTAATGATTTATTGTATATAGATAAAGTACTAATACTAGAAAGTCTCATACACTCTACATGTTTCGACGTCGTACTGCATCATTGTCATAAGAAGAGTAATATTTTGCAAGAGTTAAAACCTATTCATGTTTTTTCTCGAAAAAACACATATGGATCAAATATACATATAAATTTAATTTAAAAATTTCACGCCATCTATTAACAACATTTCCCTCTGAGTCTTCACCCTTATTTAATACTTTAAAATTATTGTTATTACATTTTATTATTTCAATAGATTCACAGATATTGTTACCACTGATGCTCACGAGTTGTGCAAAATAAGATTTTCCCATTGAATCAGGGATTTAGTTTCATTAGTATACTCAACTAAATGCTAGATCTTGGTATTACTGTGCTCAACATTTCTTTTATGTTAATTCATTCTGAATTTAATTTTTTTTCTAGTTTGTCCTATATAAATATTCTCACTTTAACATGTTATTTTGTATATACCAGCATTTTCCAATCAGTTTTATCTTTAGTTATATTAAGAATCTGGCTAATCTTGTTGATCAGTTCGTGTATCGGAAGGATAGCTTGTTGTTATTTTCTAATTTGTTGCTTTATTAGACATGATAAACCAGGTACAAATGGTAATACAAGCACTTCTTTCTCAAGTAAGTGTTTTAGCGTAATATTTTATCCCTTTTTTTAATTTCGTCATGACTCTATCAACAATATCAGGATTAAAACATCTTTCTACGGTTACATATTTGATTTAGGAAAATAACTAAAGTACGAAGTTTAGGACGCTGTTCTTAGACCCACAATATGTTATCTTTCTATAGTAAATTAAGTAAAACTTCTTCTTGTAGTTTGAGATTGGGAACAGTCTCATTTTTAAATGTTAATTACTAAACGTATATTATTAAATGTTGTTTGTTTGTTTTTAAACATATGTGTTATCTAAAATTTACACAAGTGTCGTCCTAATATTAATATATTGATTTCCATGTTTTGTTTTTAAAAAGGATCATAATATGAGATGCACTAGTAAGAAATAGCAAATTGTAAACATAGCAACCAACAACAGGAAAGTTCATCACGATTAGCTTACATTAATTTAAATACACAAGTCGATTAAATATAAGATACATCTTTTGAAGATCTGAGATAACTTATTAACTCAGTTAGTATTTAGTCGAGTTGATGGATACCAATTCCGGAGCTCCGAAATATCTTTAGTATACATCGTTGGTTTTGTCCCAACTCCATCTATAAAAATGAAAGAATAATAAATATATATTTTAAACAAGTATAATTTCATCAGTGGTGTATGAAATATATATTGACGATGATTTATTACTAATAGCTGCTGTGTTAAACCAACCTTTGTTGTTGTTTTTTTAAGAAAAGTTGAGAAAAAAAGGTCATGTTAGATAAATCTTAAACTTTTTTCGGTTATATATCAAGGTTACAGCTAATTCAGGTGAACGGTTACATAAAGTTATCGGTGAAAATCAAGAGTATGTGAAAAGGAAAATTAATGACTTCAAATTATTGCTAATAACGATAAGGAGCATGCGCAAAACAGCCCTTCCAACAACTCTGGAATTTACAGCCATCTTAGCAAAGACTGTAGCGAGAAACCTAACATCAAATACTTCAAAATAATAGATTCAGCAATAGATGAATGGACATTAAGGAAAAAGGAAGCACTCCTAATTCGAAACTTAAAATTAAAGCCGAACAACCAACTAACAGCACAACTGCATCTTAAGCTGTGATAAACTTATCATGCCTCAGATGGGCAAAGAGTGAAAACTTCGTCGAACAATCAGACATCAATATCTATTTCAAATGCTTTTAATAATGATATGCTATGTCTGTCTAGACTTACTGAAGCGTAATCACTCTCAATAATCCCTTAAAACTATTTTCTCCATTGTCGATGGCCAATATTACGCACTACTGTTTGACACCATAATTTTCATTGTAACAAACGTCTGGAGAAGAAAGTAAGGTAAATCTTAGATCACATATCATCTGTCAAATTTTTCACTGCACGTACACGAAAGTTTTCAAATGTACATTTCATTAAGCAGACCATTTTCTAACGATTTCACTATAATCCGAATATCAAACAGATATAAGCTACGTGGTAGTACTGCATGGTTGAATGGGTAGGAATTCGCGGTAAATCAAATATAAGTGCTAAGCATGTCGCTCGGTGATGAAATACGCACTTTCTGGCAGACTTCAGTAGAAACCAATACAAAAGTGCATCCTAAGATGATAAAGTGGGACCGGGCGTGGCCCAATAGTTAACGTGCCTGGTTGTACAGTTCAGAATCCGTGGTTCGCGTTCTGGTACCCCTCCGAATTGCGATTCGCTTTTAAGGGCCATGAATGCGTTATAAGAGTGTCAGTCAAATCCCACTATTCGATTTAACAAGAGTTGGCGATGGGTGGTGTTTACTGACTGCCTTCCCTCTAGTTTTATCACTTCAAAAATTAGAGACAGACAGTTAGCGCAGATAGCTCTAGTAGTTTTGCGAGAAATTCAACGAACAAACAAAAAATATAAAATTATAGTTCCTTCAATAATACTATCTGTCAACAAATCTAGACGTCTGTTGAAAATGCTAGCTTACCATTGAATAAAGTTTTAACCTTGACTTTATCACACATTTTGTTATAAAGTAGTTGCAGACTTCGGTTTTACATCTGTTGATTTTGCGTATAAATCAAAATATCAAAATCAATTTTTCAAGAATATTTGTAAAAGAGCGGTGTTATTTAGGTTTTCATGTTTTATATATATTTTCAATATTATGATATCAAACTTAATAAAAATCGTTTTTTAAGCATAAACAATTTAATAATCAATATTTAGTAAGTTCTTCTCTAGCCTCAACTGTATTACAATATCGATTAAACATGGATGCTGCTAGATGTTTTGAGGCTATCATCCGGTATTTCATTTGTTTTTGCTATATAACCTCCCAAAGATGCCATGGATTAGCTGGCTTCACTTTTGCCAAATTACTTTTCAACTCCTTTCACAAATTTTCAATTGGATTAGCATTGGAGCTTTAAACAGTTTCTTTCATAACCTTTATATTACCATCTCTTTTGTTCTTTTCCAAATACCTTTTATTCTGTAGGGCTGTAGGTGTTCAGATTATTAGTCTACTTATATTCAAAGTCAACGCTACTCAAATCAAATTTGACAATATCCCCCACTCATGCTGCAGAAAAACATGCTTATAGACTCAATACCATGTGTAACTGTTTGTCTTACACATTATTGCTTACATTTTCCCATGATGACATCTTCACACAAAAACATTTTTTTTGAAAACTTAGTCCTTGTTTCGTCAGTCCACAGCAAATTGTCTCATTTTTTTTTTAATTTTAGTAACCCTTGCGAAGTTTAATTGTTAGACCATTTTCACACGTGGAACATTCAATTAGGCTTTTATTGATATCAGTTTTTCCATTTAAGTACTTTTATTGCAATCGCCTTCGAAGGGTTCTATTGCTGATTTTAATTTCCTTTATATCCTGTATTTTTGCATTATTTCTGGAGATGTTTTCAATCGATTTGGTGTTAAAATTTTATACGACTAACACTATTCTTCTGTATGAATAATTTTTCTTTGACGACTTTCTCTTGCGATACTTTAAACTCTTTGTTGCAACAAAATACAATAACTTACTCTTGTTTTGCACTGTTTCATCAGAAATAATTATCTTATTCTTCTTAGTTTTGACCATGTTGAAACTTCCAAGGTCTTTTAGATGACGACCACAAAAATTATATGGTGATTTTAAACAGGAGTTGTAATAAACCAAACCACTTCAGTCCACATTTAATAGTGTCCAATAGCTGATATGCAGTAGCTGTGATAATATACATTGTTTCAATTGTAATTATAAACTTGATTACAAGTTGAACATAGTAACAAATGTACAAATAGTGGTCAGGTGGGTGTGCACATTAATATTATGGTATGTGCAAATAATGGTGTATGTGTGGGTAGGTGTATTATCTTCACTTATGGTGTGTGTACACATTTGGAGCTGTACCCGTGTGCAATGTCATTTAGGTGATGTAGCGTGAGTTGTGGTTGTATGTATATACTAATGGTTGATAAATTAGTTAATTAGTTTAATTAACTACTTCACGCTAGCATTAGCACGTGATCTCTCTGTTATTTTTCTATTTGGTGCACTTATAACTATGGTAATTCTATTTCTTACACAGCTAGAAGCATTCAACAATGTTAATCAGTCAGTGAGGTTGAGAAATTAGTGGTTTGTGAATTTTTTGTATCTACTCTGATGACTTTCTCAAGTGATTCTGTGACTTGTAATTTTATATATGGTTTGTAAGGGTGTCTCTCAAATACTTTTGAAGATTTATTATTTGTTTGTTAAAGGTGTATATCAGTAAGTAATGTGTACTGCATGTATTGTGTATCCGCCCTATTCCTACTATAAGTACTACTGTAGTTATGATATATAAGGGCAGCATGGCTTAGTGGTTTCGCGTTTTGGACTCGTACTCGGGTGGTTGTAGTTCGAGAGTAACTCGCGTAGTGTCGTTATGTTCTTGAGCAAGACATTTTATCAAGTTGTATGATGGATACCAGCTATTAGCTGGGGTTAGCCTGTGATAGACTATGAGAATTTGTCACCATTTGCCACATGAATCCGAAGATGGAAAGTACGAGGCATGACACGGATTTAACATAAAATGTAACACACACATATATAGGTGTGTGTATGCGATAACTTTGTCATTCAATCAAAATCACAGTTTTCAAACTGTAGGTTCAAGTTTTCATTGCAAGTAGTTTCAGTAATGGCACTCTTCTGATCATCTAGAGTGTTCTTTATTATTTATCAAAGGAATATGGTCATCATCGTTGATGTTAAAATACTAGTTATTCAGAGCCAGCAGAAGCTGTGTTGTTTGTCTTTCTTTATGGGAGTGCATTCATTCTATTGGTGGATACTGGAAATTCTAAAGATCTGTCAGGGGTCTCATATGGTTAGTAAAGATAAAAAGGCAAAAACTGTATGTCATTCCCTCTAAAGGAGTAAATGTACACACTTGATACTAAAGCTCAAGCATATCTCCGACACCTATGGATGTTCTAATCCGTATGGACTTTCTAAGGTAAGCTTGTGAGACTGTCGTGATCCTGACTGGACTGATGCTTGCAATAAAAAGGCAACCCTCCTTAAGCTGGCTATTTTCTCAGGTATACACACTCTCCTATCAGTTTCTGTTGCTTGCAGCAGAGCCATGTATCTACTGAGTGAGTGAATGAAGAGGATGAATAATGCTAGTACATTATCTCTATATCGGTAATTAAGACTTTATCAGTGGCCTTACAAGCACTGACCACCTCTCCTAGCCCTGATGGGGTGTATATATAGGGACTAGTATTGCTTGCTTTAGTGTAAAACCACTTTGGGCTATCTGCTATGTCTACCGCGGGGAATTGAACCTCGGATTTAGTGTTGGACGTCCGTAAACTTATCGTTGTCCCACTGAGGTACAAAGATTACTAGAAGGTTTATACATTGCTCATAACAATTAAGGGTTAATCAGAGTTTTCTATAATCTAGCTCTGATAAATAATGTCAATGATATGTATGATCTAAGTTTTATTCAAAATAAATGCCAAATTATTGGCCATGCGATCTGCTATGCATATATTAGTGGCATATAAAAGAGAAAGAAATGTAGTGTGTTCTCAATTAGCAGTTTGAACAACAGAAGACCGTGTAAAGAGATCCTGGTTGATAGTGAAATATGCCAGTACTCCACAAGCCACTTGGACAATTTCAGAATGTGGAAGGCAATGTGTGAAGGCAATGAAACATAACATGCCACTGCAGAGTTGCTGAAAGTCTTACAAAGTGTGGTAAGCAGGATTTGAAATCCATTTCAGATAACCACTATAGTTGGCCAGAAATATAGGCAACATAGACCATTTTGAACGACCGCACAAGATACGGCCACTATTGAACAACATGGGCTCAATTCAAATAGCGTGTCTTAACTTTCCAATGAAATTAGTATTTCAGTTCTAAAACTAAAAGACATTTATCATACTAGTGGTCAGAAACAGGTTTCACACAGTTGGAGTTTATAGCAGATGACACGTATTGTACATATCGTCAGATTTGAGACATGTATTCATTTGGTAAACGGCTGTGATCAGATCCAACCCCAGCTTTGTGGATGAAAGACAACC